CTCCAGACCCTGCTTGTCTGGGGTGCACCTCTAGCAGATGTGGCACAGCGAGGGTGCTACCAGTTTCTTTTTCTGCTATCTTTGTCCCAGGATGGTGCCTGCCTAATGTCAGTCTTTTGGATATAGAGGGGTCAGGGAGCTGCTTGAGGAGACAGTTTGTACTTTATAGGGGTTTAATTGCTGAGCTGTGAGCTGTGTTGTTCATTCAGGGCTGTTAGGCTGCTATGTTTGATTCTGCTGCAACAGAGCTCATTAAAAAAACCCTTTTTTTTCTCAAATGCTCTGTGTTGAGGGGTTTGGGCTTTATTTTTGGATGTCCGTTGAGGTCCTGCCCAGCTAGGATGCAGACTAGCCACTGTTTGCCTGCCGAGGCTCCGCCCTGCTGTTGTGAGGCTCGCCCTGGCTCCGCTGTTCTGCTGTTCTCCGCCATGCCCTGCGGCGGAGTCTCTCTGTTGTAGCGGGTTGCCTCGGCGACGGCAGACTGCGTCAGCAGTGGGCGTGTATCTCAGTAGGGACGGGTTGCCTCGGCAACGGCTGGCTGCGTCAGCAATGGGCGTGTATCTCAGTTGGGGCGGGTTACCTCGGTAATGGTGGCCGCCCCTCCCCCTCAGAGCGTCTCGGGCCGTCTGCACGGGGCTTGTTTGAAATCGCAGTTTTGTTCGTCCCACTGGGCCAATCCTAACGCTCTGTTCCTGCAATCCCCTGGGCTGGCCCACTGTTCAAGTCTAGCTCAGTCTCAAGTCCAGCCCTCTCACATCTCCAGTTGCCGGTTCAACGGGACACCCGGACAAGTGCGCCCTGTGGGGAGCGCTGGGTAGGGCCGGCCGCCGCCACCCCGGCTGCTGGCTTCGCCAGGCGGAATATCTGCCTGGCGTCCCGCGTCTCCTCTTCACTTGGGAATTTCCCCGTTCCGTGAGCAACAAAGATCAGTCTGGAAATGCAGCTCAGACTCACCTCTCCGCAGACACAACAAGAACTCCAATCCTGGGTTGTTCTCACAGCGCCATCTTGAGTCGGGACGTTGTTTTCTTTTTGAGACAGAGTCTCACTCTGTCACCCAGGCTAGAGTGCAGTGGTGTGATCTTGGCTCACTGCAACCTCCACCTCCCGGGTTCAAGCAATTCTCTGTCATAGCCTGCCAAATAGCTGGGATTACAGGAGGCCCGTGACCATGCCTGGCTAGTATTTGTATTTTTAGTAGAGACGGGGTATCACCATTTTGGCCAGGCTGGTCTCGAACTCCTGACCTCATGATCCACCCTGCTTGGCCTCCCAAAGTGCTGGGATTACTGGCCTGAGCTACCACACCTGGCCGCAGAAGCTCTTTAGTTTAATTAGGTCTTCCCATTCATCAATTTTTTGTTTTTCTTGCAATTGCTTGTGGAGTCTTTGTCATGACATCTTTGCCAGGGCTATGTCCCTAATTATGTTTCCTAGGTTTTCTTCTAAGATTTTATATTTAAGTCTGTAATTCATCTTGAATTGATTTTTTTATATATTGAAAGGAAGGGGCCTAGTTCAGTCATCTGTATATGACTATCCAATTATTCTAGCACCATTTATTAAATAAGAAGTCATTTTTCCCATTGCTGCTATTGTCTACCTTGTCAAAGATCAGAAGGTCGATTGCAGGTGTTTGGCTTTTTTACTAAGTTCTTTAATCTGTTCCATTGGTTAATGTGTTTGTTTTTGTACCATTACCATGCTGTTTTGTTTACTGTAGCTTTGTGGGAATCTGAAGTGTATAATCTGATGCCTCCAACTTTGTTCTTTTTGCTTAGAATTGCTTTGGGTATTCAGGCTTTCTTTCTGGTTCCATATAAATTTTCTTTCTTTCTTTTTTTTTTTCTTTTTTTTGAGACCACGTTTTACTCTTCTTGCCCAGGCTGGAGTGCAGTGGCATGATCTCAGCTTACTCAAACCTCTGCCTCCCAGGTTCAAGTGATTTTCCTGCCTCAGCTTCCTGAGTAGCTGGGATAACAGGCACCCGCCACCACGCCCAGCTAATTTTTCTTTTTTTTCTTTAAGTAGAGATGGGGTTTCACCATGTTGGCCAGACTGATACAGGTGCTCCACCCACCTCAGCCTCCCAAAGTGCTGGGATTACAGGCATGAGCCATCTTGCCTGGCCTAGTTTTAATTTTTTGTTCAGTTCTGCATTTCCATTACAAATGTGAATATTTTAAATATCGTTTTTATTTATCCTGCCTGATATACATTGTTTCTTTTGTGCTGATTTTCTCATATCATTTATCATGTCTAGAAATGCCTATCCATTAACTTAGGCATCCCTGTGTAGTCATATTAGACTTTTTCATATTCTCTAATTTGCTTAGCCTCTCTTTATATTTTTAATCTGTATTTTCTCTGTGTAACATTCCGAGTAGTTCCTGACTTATACATAATTTATGCACTTTTACTTCACCGTTTCTTTCTTCAAATGTGTCAAATTGACTGAACACAGTCGGGCTCACACCTATTGTCCCAGCACTTTGGGAGGCCGAGGCAGGAAGATCACTCCAGCCGATGGATTTGAATCCAGCTTGGGCAACATAATGAGACCTCACTTCTACAAAAAAAAAGTATTATCCCAGCACATGGCACATGCTTGTATACAGTCACAGCTATTTAGGAGATTCAAGGTTTCCTAAGAGACTTGAGGTACTTAAAAGGTTGAGGCCATAGAGAGCTATAATCAAGCCACTGCACTCCAGCCTGGGTGAAAGAGCAAGACCCAGTTAAAAAAAAAAAGTGTCTAATTATTTAACTTCAGTTATTAATTCTTTTATTTCTAAAAGTTCTATTTTATTCTTTAAAATATTAACCTGATTATTCTTTATTGTATGATATTACATGCTGATTTTTATTACTCCCTCATTTCTTTCTTCAAATATTTTATATTGAATTATTTTATATGCCTACTTTAACAATTCAATTATCTGAAATCCTTGGAGATCTAAATTAGTTATTTTTCTAATTTTTAGTTATAGTCTCTCATTTTCTTGTGTTTTTGATGATCATTGATTGTGAACTCGTACTTGTTTGATTTTCATTTATGTTAATAATTGAGGGCCTCTATTAGAAGGGCTTTAATCCAGACATGAATTTATTTGTTTGTTTCTGTGAAAGTTAGGGGCACTACTAACCTGGGTCTCTTTTAGCCCCTAGCTTAATCAGAATTCTTGGGTTTAGCACTTGTTCTTGGCTTAATCAGCAGTCTGAGCTTATCACCTTTAACTTGAGTTTTATTCAGACTCATCTCCTAAGGGGATGGCCCTGTAAGTAGTTCTGCCCTGTTTTCCCACCTTATTTGCTGTCTACTGAGGAGTCCTCACTATGATTCTATCAAGGGATTTTGCTTAATTGGTTATTTTTTTATTGAGAATATGACCCCCTTGGTATTCACTTACTTTCCTTTCATAAGTCCTATGATGTACTTTAATATACTTTAACAAAGTTCTATATTCTATAAACAATCTAGTTAGGAGTCTCCTTTTGCTATTTGTTTCATCAGGCTGCCAGTTTTTTTATTTTACTATGTATCATTACCATCTATTGTCTACTGTCTATCATTACCTCTCACCTAGAAAGAAGAGCACATCCTAACTTAACCCCCTTAATTTCACTCTCTCCAATTTCTGTTTCCCCTATATGATTGCCAAATTGATGTTTCAGTGAACGTGTTAGACATGTTAGCTTTGAGATGCCTTGAAATAATAATTTGGAGCTCAGGGAAGATATGGATCCCAGAGATGTAGATTTGTAAGCCACTGATAATTGATTAACAATGCCCTGGGAGTGATAAGGTTATTGAGGAGATTGGAGAGAGTGGGTAAAATAAAAGAAGATCAGGGGTCCAAAGTGGCTCCCACCGGAGGTCATGGCGCTTGTGAAGGCGAGGTCATCAGTTCAAGGCTAACCTGAGCAACCTCATAAGCTCAAACTGATTGGCAAAAAAAAAAAAAAGATCATAGAAAACTGATTTCACGGGGAGGCAGAGAAAAATGAACCAGCAAAGGAGACTGAGAAGAACACAATCTAAGGAAGGGAAAACAAAAATGTAAGGAAAGTAGGGCAAGCCAAGGTAGGAAAGGGTTTCAAGGAAGGGCTGTTTGTGGAATTAGATAGGACTGAAAGGACACACAAGATGAGAATTTACCTTTAAGTTTGATCCTAAGAAGATGGATGACAATGGCTCATGCCTGTAATCTCGGCACTTTTGAGATGCTGAGATTGATGGTTTGCTTGAGCCCAGGAGTTTGAGACCAGCCTGAGGAACGTGGCAAAAACCCCATCTCTATGAAAAATACAAAAAATTAGCTGGGTATATTGGCGCACGCCTGCAGTCCCAGTTACTTGGGAGACTGAGGTAGCAGCATCACCTGAGCCTAGGAGGTCAAGGCTACAGTGAGCCATGATTGCACCACTGCACTTCAGCCTGGGTGACAGAGTGAGGCCATGTATTAAAAAAGAAATGAAAAAAGAAGATGGATAATTAGTATTGCCAGAATAGTTACAATGGAATGGGGACAAATGCAACACTGCAGTAAATGCAAGGACAAATTGTACAATTTGCTAATCCTCTGACCTCTTCCTTAGTATATCCAACCTCCACTGAATATATAATGAATCAATAAACTTTCTAGTACAAGACACTCTTCATTCACAAAATAAACAAAATTGCCGTTTGATTTCTGTAGCTGAGAAGGACTAATAAGAAGAGGCAGCATGTTTTCTAAGCTGTCATAGTCAGCAGTGTCTACTTGGGGTTATGTTTATTCTTCAAAGTAAGGCCTCCACAGGCTCTGTACCTCAGCCCCTCCTAAATGTGACAACTTTTCACATATGGAAGATCCTAGTAAGCCAAATTCCTTCTGTTTGAAAATATTTTTCCAATCAAAAGGACAATGACAGTATCACACAAATATGTTAAGTAAACAGCTCTTTCCTTTTTTATATTCTTGTTAACAACTAACATAACATTTTTTTCTGCTTTATAGATACGAGAGGTTTGAAAAGGCATTTCTCCTAGCTGTTGACATTGGTGCTCGTGACCTGTTTATGGTGAGTCATTTTCAGAGATGATATTGTGCCTTCAGTTCTAAGGCTGAGTAAGTTGTCAGCTTTTGTGACCATTAAAAAGGATTAGTGTCATTTGCAGTCTTAGACACATGGTGGGAAAGCATTATTCCATCTGGACTTGCAGGTTTGCTTTTGTGAAACTGGTCAGTAGCCATCTAGTATCTAGTATCTTTGATTTGTTGACATTTTCCTTGCTGAGTCCAACGGATCTTTTATGTTTTCTAAGAATTTATAATTCTTGAACTTTTCTCTTCATGTTCCTTGATACAAGGGGATGACACCTATCTATCTAATAAGCTTAAATATCTTTCTAATCCAGTCTCTGAAATAAAGCTATAGAATCCAGGACATAGGGCAAAACATGTCCCACAGATCTTGAATGTGCTTAGTTTGTCTCTTAGATTTCAGTGTAGAGTAACAAAGTTTGAATGTTCTCACATATATTTTTAAAGTAACCATAGTACAAAGTGTATCCAAGAGGTCAAAATCAGGTACATTCTGGCCCTCCCATTTATTAGCTGCACAACAGTAACACTGACCAGTTTCTTATGAATCCTTGTACTCTATATCAGGTTTCTGTTTTAAAAGGTCTTGCACCACAGAGCCACGTTGAGATCAAATGAACAAATTAAGAGTCCTTTCCTAGTTTCCCAGCATATTCTGTTAGACAGCAACTTCATTGTTTTCACAGAAATAATAGAGCAAAAGCTCCTTGAAAGAAGAAATACTTCTAGAAGGCGCTTTTACCTGAATCTTTTGTACAATGAAGACACTGTGTAGTTTAAATTAAGCTGGGATGGTTTAGATATTGTTAGACAGCAATTTCATTGTTGTCACAGAAACAATAGAGCAAAAGCTTCTTGAAAGCAAGAAATACTTCTAGAAGGTGGTTTTCTTGAATCTTGTGCACAATGAAGACATTTTATAGTTTAAGCTTTGATGTTTTAGATATTATGCATTCATCACATTAGATCAGTCATCTTTGGATTAAGTTTGATATTTAAATTCTAAATGTACGTCATTCAATTATACTTTTATGGATCATGAAAAAGTAATTACTTTAAAAAGTATGAACATTCTATTATTCATGATCTGCATTTTGTGATATCTAGTTGAGCAGGCATATTATATTGAGGGAAGATTTTATTATTTTCATCAAAATCTATACATGCAAAGATCACAGTGTCAGAAAATTAATTGCACTGTTTAGATTTTCCAGCCCCATTGACTTTTTTCCTTATCTCTACCTTTTCATCTTTGCCACTTACCCCAATAAAAGTAGATTTTCTCCATATTTCTTTATTTTTTAGGTTGATAGTTTCAATCTTTTTCTAGCCAAGAGAAGATCTAAAGAGATAAATATTTAAATGTTTGGTGCCTGGTAAAATTTGTCTCTCAAGGTATTATGTTATGTAATATCTAATGTAATTATTAATTTATAAGCATAATCATGAAAGGCACCTTCTAAACTTTTCTCAAATCTTAACCTTTTTCAGCTTTTAGTCTTAGTTTAGCCAATAACAGTATAAAGTGTCCAATATAAAATCTCCTTCATCTAAAGCCTTTCTATTGATAGGCTAACCCTAACCCATGAGGATTTTTACACATAAAAGATGAAAATCTAAAATAAGAGAAGTATAGAAATGGTTTTACTATCCTTTTTATTCAAAAAGCAAACAGTCACTATTTAGAATGCTGCATTGTTACTCTTCATACATAGCTTTATAGCCCGAAGGTCTGCTTTACAGAAGCTCAAAATATTGAGAGCATTAAAGCCTCAAAATTCTATTTAAGCTCATCTATCTAATATATACATTTAAGGTTCCATGTAGAAATTGTCTAAAAGAATTTATTCTTTTAATAGATTGATTCTTACTATCTAAATTTCATCTAGCCAGAGTTCTATAGACTACAGATTGGAAAATATTACCTTTTTTGAAATTAAAAGCTTATAAAATAAACAAGATTATTCCTACTTATACATGATTTTCTACCTCTGAGATATCTTTTCCTAAAAGACTAAAAATAATAACATATGAATCACAATGGGATCACACAAACTGTATCAGTTAACCTGAAAATAGTGCATTTTGCATTAGCATATTATCAGTAGTAAAAAGTTACAAGACATACAACATGACAAGAAAGTTGATAGGGCTACAAAGCAGAGAGACTAAAGGGGCTTACATTTCATATAAAAGAGTTAGAATTTATCTCAAAGGCAACAGGAATTTTCTAAATCATTTTGAACAGAAGAGTGATATTATCAATATATTTGCTAGAAAACTTTTCCTATAAAGGTCCAGGTAAGCAAATACTTTAGGCAGGCCTTCCTGCCTTTCCCTCCCTCTCTCCCTCCCTCCCTCCCTACTTTCCTTCCTTCCTTTGTTCCTTCCTTACTTCCCTTCCTTTCTTCCTTGTTTCCTGTCCTTCCTTCCTTCTTTATTTCCTGCCCTTCCTTCCTTCCTTCCTTATTTCCCTCCCTCCCTCCCTCCCTTCCTTCCTTCCTTATTTCCTGCCTGCCCTCCCTTCCCTCCTTCCTTCCTTCCTTCCTTCCTTCCTTCCTTCCTTCCTTCCTTCCTTCCTGTTTCTTTTCTTTCTTGTCTCAGTTTTTCACCTAGGCTGGAATGCAGTAGTGTGATCATAGCTTACTATAACCTTGAACTCCTAGACTCAAGCAATCCTCCTATCTTAGCCTCCAAAGGAGCTAACATTACAGGCATGAGCCATGTCTAAGTGTTGCAAATATTTTAGACTTTTTACAAGCCATATGGGCTCTGTTGCATCTATTTAACTCTGCCGTTATAGAGCAAAAGCAGGCATAGTCAATACATACACAAATAAGTTTGGATAATAAAACTTTATATATAGACATTGAAATTTGAATATAATTTTCAAGTGTCACGTAAAACTGTTCTTGTGATTTCTTTTCCAAAAACCATTCTTAGTTTGGGTTGAATTTGGATGACAAGTCACCATTTGCTGATTCCTTGTTTAGAGTATGATCACTTAGGCTGCACTGTAGAAAATAAACTTTAATGAGACAAGGCTCCTAGGTACAAGTGTAAAGTAAACAAAGAGATAGGTTCTTTCAGGCCCATTTCCTCAGGTTCAGCATCCTCATAGTAATATTCTTATATTTAGGGACTGTTGATTAAACTCTGAGCTCTCTCAGTTACTAGTTGCATAATTTTGTGTAATTTACCTAAGTATGTTTGCTTTCATTTTATAGCCTGTGGTGATGATAATACATAAATCCCTAGTGTGTTTTAAGTATCAAATTAATTAATAATATATATGAAGTGTCTAGCATATTGTAATGACTTAATAACTAGAGTTTCTGGTATATTATTTTATATTCACTTTTCAAATATTTAGATAGTACTTCATTTTATATTATTTATGTATTTGTCAGATTAACAATGCTGGAATTTAGGTAATTATTGATATTTGAGTGTTTACAACCAAGTAGTCTCTTCTTGAGAGGTTGGAATTGAATTATGGCAGCCTAGTTTCAGAGTCCATACTCCTAATCACTGTGGTATATTGCCTAGAACTAGATTCATTTGCATATATATTAATTTACTGTACAGTAAAAGTAGCATTTCAAATCAGTGGGGCAAAGTTTCAATAACTTACGTTGGTTCAACAGACTCACCATATGCCATACAAAGGGCTAATGTACCTAATATACAGAACCAATAAGAAGTAAGAAGTAAAACACCCCAATAAAAAGGTAGCAAGAGTTACAATCAGGCACATCACAAAATAAGAAGAAGGCAAGTCACAAAATAAGATGACAGGTAAACATACAGAAAAATGTTCAGTCTTTTTTTCTGTGAGTGAAAGAATACATTGGACTAAGGTGTCCAGAGACACGCAATCTTAAGCAGGTAGTAGCAGAGTGTTTTGGTAAGCTTGTCTTGATAGCTTTATCAAAAATCATGTGACCATATATGAGAGAGTTTATTTGCAGACTTTCTTTTTTATTCCAGTGGTCTATATGTCTGTCTTTGTGCCACACCACATTGTTTTGTTTACAGTAGTTTTGTATTAAGTTTTGAAATCAGGAAGTATGGGTCCTCCAACTTCATTCTTCTTTTTCAAGATTATTTTGGATATCTGGGGTCCCTTGGGACCCATGTATATTTAAGGATGGTTTTATATTTCTGCATAAAAGAAATTGGAATTTTGATATAATTGCATTGCGTCTGTTGGTCACTTTGGGTAAAATTAACAGCCTAACAATATTAAATCCTCCAATCCAACTTCCAGTATTGCATTGAATAGATGTGGTAAAAGTGGGCATGTTTGTCTTGTTGCTGATCTTAGAGGAAAAGCTTTTGAGTATTTCACAGTTGAGTTTGATTAATGGTGGTTTTTTTTGGTATATAGAATTTATTGTTGAGTTAGTTTTCTTCTAACCTAGATTGTTGAGGGTTTTATCGTGAAAGGATGTTGAATTTTGTCAAATGCTTTTTCTACCTCAATTGGGATGATTATGTGGGTTTGTCTACCTTCATTCTATTCAAGGTATATCATGTTAATTAATTTTCATACGTTGAACCGTTCATGCATTCCCAGAATAAATCTTACTTGGTCATGATATATAATCTTACTAATATGCTGCTGAGTTCAGTTTGCTAGTATTTTGTTGAGGATTTATGCATTAATATTGATGAGGGAAATTGGTCTGTGGTTTTATTTTTATTTTTGTATTGTTATTGTCCAACTTTGGTAGTAGGGTAATACTGGCCTTATAGAATGAGTTAGGAATTGATATTATTTTCTCTTTAAGTGTTTGGCATAATTCACCAGTGAAGCTATCAGAGGTAGAGCTTTTCTTTGGCAGGGAATTTTTTATTACTGATTCAATCTTCTTATTATTTCTCAGTCTATTTAGATTGTCTATTACTTTCTGATTTATTTTTAGTAGGCTTTGTGTTTCTAATAATTTATTTCACCTAGTTAGCTAATTTGTT